TCTGGAACTTCACCCGTTCTCCATGAGGCCTCAAAATTGGAGGCCAGCGGGCATGAGAGAACCTCTGCCAACTCTACTCTCGGGTGTAACCCATCAGGGCCTGGCACCTTTGTAATGTCCAATGTCCTGAAGAGCCCCTTGACTTCTAGGGGGGTGACTCTAATCTGTGCCCCTAAGTCCCCAGCCTCATCTAATCTGCTATGCGGATATCCCCCGTCCAGCTTTGGGGAGAACACAATGGGAAAATAGTCCTTTAGCGTCTGTGCCTGTTCCCTCATATCAGTCACTGGATCTCCTTCCTCCTTATTTAGAGGTCCTACCACTTGTCTCCCCTTCATCTTCCTATTTACATGCTGAAAGAAGCCCTTTTTGTTGCTGTTGATATTCTTGGCGAGTCTCAGCTCATAATCTGCCTTAGCCTTGCGACGAATCCTTCTGCAACGGGCTTCCTCCTCCCGGTATACCCTTTTGTCTAGTTCCCCTGTACCCATTTCCTATGGAGGTTTCTCTTTCTTCTAACCCCTCTAGCCACCTCCTTTTGCATCCATGGCGGGCCTTTCCTTCGCCTTCCCGCCTTATTAACTAGAGGTATCATCAAGGTTTGCACCTCCAAAACCATCCTTTTGAGTGCCATCCACCCCGCCTCAACTCGCTTACCTTCCAGTAACCCATCCCAGGAGACTTTCCCCAGTCTGGCCTTCAGTTGGCCAGAGTTGGCCCTCTTGAAGTCCCAGCTTCTAGTGCTCAACCTGCTGCACATCCCCAGTCCCCTGATCTCAAAGCAAAGGATGGAGTGATCACTCGCATCCATAACTCCCATAATCTGTATCTCATCTATCAGCTACTCTCTGTTGGTCAAGACCAAGTCAAGGATGTTCCCCCCCCCCTTGTCGCCTCTCGGACCCTCTGCGTGAAAAACCCTCCCTGTATAGCATCTAGGAAGCAATGTGACCTGGCTGCGACTGCTGGGTGAGTCTCCCAACTAATGTTTGGGAAATTGAAATCTCCCATAATTACTGTGTCTCTCCCCCGAGATGACCTTAGAATCTGGCCTGTCAGGACATCATCCAGGGTCTCAAGTTGACCTGGAGGGCGATAACATACCCCAACTGTCAGGTCTCTTTCCCTGTCAAAACCCCTAAGTTTCACCCAGACTGCCTCTACCAAATCCCCATCTGTGCTGCATTCTATCTCGCTGCATCCTATCCCTTCCCTGACGTATAAAGCCACGCCCCCACCTCTCTTTCCCTTCCTGTCCTTTCTAAACAGGTGATACCCTTCTATGTTCACATTCCAGACTTGCCTTTCATCCCACCAAGTTTCTGTGATTCCCACCAGGTCATACCCTCCTATTCCCAGGAGAGCTCCAAGCTCTTCCTGCTGATTACCCATGTTCCTAGCATTGGTGGACATGCACCTCAACTCCTTCCCACCGCTTCCTTTCTTTGGAGTCCCCAGCCTCCTCCTCCCTCCCATCTTCCCTGATACCGGTCCCCTCGTTGTAGGAGTCTTGTCAGTCCCTGCAGTACCTCTGACACCCTGGTCCCAGAGCCCTGATCATTGCTCCAGTGCGGACAGGTTTCTGGGAGGCCTGACCCCCCCGCCCCGGGTCAGTTTAAAGCATTTTGGACAAAGCTCGCTAGAGCATTTCCAAAGGACCTTTTCCCCATCCTCGTGATTTGCTACCCGTCTCGTCAGAAGTCCACTGGCGAGAAACCAGGTGCCGTGGTTGAGGAACCTGAAGCGTTCCTTCTGGCACCACACCCTAAGCCAGTCGTTCACCTCGGAGACCCTCCTGTCCCTTCCTGGCCCAAATCCTCAGACTGGTAAGATGACGAGAAGGCCACTTGGGCCTTCAGCTCCCTGAGTTTCTTCCCCAAGGCGTCAAAGTCCCTGGTGGTCCCACCCACACCCTGCCTGGCCACGTCATTTGTGCCCACATGGATCACCAGGAGCGGCTGGTGACCCCCAGAGCGAACAAGACGCTCCACTCTGTCCTTCACATGCCGGATCCGTGCGCCTGGCAGGCAACAGACCTCCCTCGCCTCAAGGTCGGGGCGGCACAATGCTGCCTCAGTGCCCCTCAGCTGGGAGTCCCCGGCGACAATCACTCCCCGGCGTCTCTTCCCGGTGGTGGAGGGCAGCCATGCCCTGGCTCTTGCCTCTCCTGCAGCAGCCCCCTTGCCACTTTTGGTCCCAGGCTGGGGGTCCTGCTGGTCCCCCGAGGCCTCATCAGCCCCAGCCTCCCCAGGTGGAGAGAACCTGCTTCCCAGCTCCAGATTGGTGCCAGGAGGAGGAGGAGGCCATGCTGGCCTCCCCCTCCTGTGGGTGACACGCCTCCATGTCTCCCCAGCTGCTCCTCCCGTGGCCTCTCCCTCGACCCTCTGTCCAGAGGGGGCTGCTCCCGGGGGGCCTGGAGAGCTCTCTCGGCCTTCAGGCACCTCACCTCCTCCTCTAGCAGGGTCACCAGCTTGCACCGAGGGCAAGTGTAGCCCTGCCTCTCCTGGGGGAGGAGGGCGGACATGTCGCAGCTCTCGCAGCGGACAGCAACCCCCGTGACTCCCGCCAAGGCCGTCTCCTGGCCTGCCATCGGGAACCCCTCAGAGACCTGACCTCCCCACCCCGCATCTTTCCTGCACTACTGCTCACTCACCCAGTTCTCCCAGACAAAAACCCACTTGCACACACACACAAAAGCACAAAATAGAAAATTAATTTAAAAAATAAATAAAACCTGCTCCCAAGGAAGGAAGTCCCACAGCAAAGGGACCCCAGACAAGGGATGCCTTATCAGTCCCTCAGGCCGGTGGCCCCGCCCCTCTGCTCCCTCCTGGCCCCTCTAGCCCCGCCTCCCTTCCTCTCCGCTGCTCCCCTGCCCAGCCCCTGCCTTGCCTTCGCCAGGCCCTGGCCACTCAGCACTCGCTCCTGCCTGTCGGCTCCCTCCTGGCCCCTCTGGCCCCGCCTCCCTTCCTCTCCGCTGCTCCTGGCCCTGCTCCCTTGCCCAGCCCCTGCCTTGCCTTGCCTTCGCCAGGCCCTGGCCACTCAGCACTCGCTCCTGCCTGTCGGCTCCCTCCTGGCCCCTCTGGCCCCGCCTCCCTTCCTCTCCGCTGCTCCTGGCCCCCTGCTCCCCTGCCCAGCTCCTCCCTTGCCTTCGCCAGGCCCTGGCCACGCAGCCCTCTCTCCCAGCCTCTGCTGCTCTGGCAAGAGGCCAGAGCCAAAAAGGTGTGTAGCCAGCAGTGGGGCAGGGCAGCCCGTGTGGAGCATTTCCGGAGGGCTGTTTCAGTCAGCGAACAGTGGGACTTTGGGTCCCTCGTGCTGAAGGGGATCAAATCCAGAAATCTCACAGCACATTCATGACTCCGGGACTGCTTGGACAGGAGGGGCAGGCATTCTTTTTTCTCTTTCCCATCTGTTGCGTAGTTGCAAAGTCGTGCCACATAAACAACCTCCCTCCAGGCTCTCCTGTCCTCCACCATCCCCAGAGTCCACCCAACCCCACACCCACCTCCCCAGTGACCCCGTCCAGCCCCCTCATCCTCGGCCGTCCCCTTCTCCTTTTGCTGTCAATCATACCCAGCATTAGGCTCTTCTCCGGTGAGTCTGTCCTTCTCATTAGGTGGCCAAAGTATTTGAGTTCCATCTTCAGTATCTGGCCTTCTAAAGAGCAGTCAGGGTTGATCTCTTTGCATTTCCAATCTGATACCAGCATAAATTGTGAAAATTAATGGTATTTCACAGAAAGTGTGCATGCTTCAATCCACTGTAAACATGTGGATTTTTTTTTTAATTTAGCAAAAGGGATGTGTCTGAGCTTACAGACCAGTAGGTTTCCTGTGCCCCAGAAGTGCATACATGTTTATTGCCTCCAGGTGCTGGTTGGAGTCACCACTCTTTTTCTTGCTAGGCCTCCCATATCTTTTACGGTGACCTAACAGACAAGAATTCAGATGGTGTAGATTTTTCAGGCATGAAGGTTCCCTGGTGGGTAAAACTTTGCTTGCATTTCTGACTGTCAGTTGGGGCAGCTGCTGAAAGTTGGGCTTGTGCCAGGGAGGAAAATGTGACAATTCTCATGTGAGGTTATCAGGAAGAAGTCAGGTTGGCCTTAGGCTTTTGGTGATCAAAGGAGAAGGCCACTTTCCTTCAAAGCTAGGGAGCCGAAGTCTCCCCAGTTTGTACAAGATCAAGCATGTTAACTCTCCCTTCAAACTCGGCCCTTGTGGCCTAAACCAAAAGGGTTTGCAAAATCAGGGTACATATTTCCCAAGGAGGAAGGAAGTTGTGTTGTCTTGGCAACAGTGTGCAACGCTGGATAGTATCTAAGAGTGATGAGTGTGTTCTCTGTTTCCTGCCTTAATTCTTCTCTGGGTTGCTTTGCCTCGAGTTCTGCAGCTTCCTGAATTTTGGCCACTGTGCTGCTGTTTTTGAGGCTTGTGTTGAATTTTCTCAGGCTGTACTCTTTGCGCTTCATCACTGCTTAACTTGTCCTTGCAATCCAGGTTGTGCTTCTGTATCTGACAGCTCAGAATAACACTTCATGAATTTGGTGAAATGGAATGTTGTCTGCAAAAGCTTCTGGCATAATGAATGGGTTGGTCTTTAATGTGCCCCAAGATTTTTTCAGTTTAACTAGGCGTATTTCTAAAGTTCTCCTTTGGAAAACAAAAACATGCTAAGAAAATTTTCAGTTTGTTGCTTTATTTCCATCTCCTGTTTCCTCTGCTTTTACAGTGTGCACATGTACATGTTAATATACAGAAGAAAGGCACAAAGGAACCAAAGCTGTGTCACTCTTGACAAATTCAGCAGTAAAGAAATATTAACTAGTCCTACATCTGTGCCACTTCCAAATGATCTAGGCTTGCTTCTGAGCCAACGCCCAGGGTGCAACTGGAAGAAAATTTTGGAAGCATTCTTCTGGATGTCCCCTCCCTGTGCCATGTAGCGCTGATCACCACCAGGAGGACCTCTGATCTGACTCTCCTGCTCTCTCCCCTCAGGTGACATTCACCAAACGGAAGTTTGGGCTGATGAAGAAAGCCTATGAGCTGAGTGTCCTCTGCGACTGTGAGATTGCGCTCATCATCTTCAATCACTCGAACAAGCTGTTCCAGTACGCAAGCACAGACATGGACAAAGTGCTGCTCAAGTACACGGAGTACAACGAACCTCACGAAAGCCGGACCAACGCAGACATCATTGAGGTACGGTGTACTGCTCCTGCCTCACCTCAGCCCAGGGTCTGGTGCGAGATCACCCCACACTTGGGGGAGAGGGCCTCTCTCTGGCCTGGAAGGCAGCCTCTGCACAGGCATCCCGCTGCCCCTTTGTGCATGGCTTGCAGGCTGCCTGGGCACATCTGCCTTCCTCTCTGGCCGGAGGAGGAGCCCGGTCACACGGACTGCAGCACTGCTGCTGCCCGCAGTATTTGGTCTGCCCCCGAAGCCTGAAATGACAGTTGATGGAATACCGCGTCCAAATCAGCCACGGTTTCTTCGCATCCTGGAGCGCGCCCGGCCCCATCGGCTTGAAGCCTTCCAGGCCCAGAGCACTTCAGGTTGTGTTCCAAGGGAGAGCGTTGCCAGGCTCTGGATCTCCCCCAGTGCCTCGCTAGGGCCACTGCAAACTGGCCATGCGCAGGCCCTTGGGAGAAATTAGTGCAGATAAAATTCAGGGACTGCAAGAAATCATGTGTGATGAAGGTGACTGCCATCCACAGTCCTCATCCTGCAGGGAGACAGTGGTGCAGGCTGGGCGGCACCAGTAGTTCTTCCGTAGTTGATAGTTCTCCAAAAGCACCACTTCCAAATCCTGTGAGGTGCTAGCTCCTCTCTACTCAGTGCAGGCGAGGCCTCCCCTGGGGGACTGTGCCTAGTTCTGGGCACCAGCTTAAGAAAGACAGAAACAGAGTGAGTCAGAAGGGGCCTCCTGGGCCATCTAGTCTGACTCCCGGCTCCAGCCGGCTCCGCTCACGACATGCCCACCATGTGCATGTCCAGCCTGTCCTCACCGATGGGGCCTCAACCACCTCCTTTGGAAGCCCTTTCCATGCCTTGAGGGTCCTAACCCATTAGGAAGGACTTCCTGCCATCCACCTTGAGTCTTGATTCCCTGAGCTTTGCTCCATTGCAGTGTGTCCTGCCCTCCACTGCAGGGGAAAAAAGGTCATGAGCCACCTCTGCACGGCACCTCCTCACATACCTGTATGTCGCTAACAGGACCCCTCTGAGTCTTCTCCAGGCTGAAGAGACCCAGCTCCCTCAGTCTCTCCTCAAATGGCTTACCCTGCAATCTGGCCACCATCCTTGTGGCCCTACGCTGCACTGGTTCCTACCTGGCTATAGCTCTCTTGTAATTGGGGGGTGGGTGGGGCAGAACTGAGCACAGTACTCCAGTTGCGGGCGCACCACAGTCGTACAGCGTGGTAGTGATACCTCTCTCAATCTAGAAGCCACGCTTCTGGCTATGCAACCAGTGGCAGCATTTGCCCTCTTCCCCGCCACATCACACTGCTGACTCATGTTTAGCCTAAGATGGAGACAAGCTGGAGAGAGTTCAGAAGAGAGGATGATTTGGGGACTTGGAAACAAAGCCCCTTGAGGTGAGGTTGAAAGAGCTGGGCATGTTTAGCCTCGAGAAGGGAAGACCAAGAGGCGATAGGATAGCACCCTAAAGGTACCTGAAAGGCTGCCACCCAGAGGAGGGCCAGGGTCTCTTCTCGCTTATCCTGGGTCACAGGACATGGAATAACAGGCTCAAGTGACAGGAAGCCAGGCTCCAGCTGGACATTGGGAAGACCTTCCTGATGGTTAGAGCAGTTGGCAATGGAACCCATGGCCAAGGGACGTGGTGGACTTTCCCACCCTGGAGACATTCAGGATGCATCTGGACAGCCCCCTGGGAGGGGTGGTCTCACTGGGAGTCCTGCACTGAGCGTGGGGTGGTCTCAGTGACTCTCTGGCCCCTTGCAACTCTACGATTCTGCGTGCTCCCAAATGCTGAGTAACCATCTTGGCTAAGGGATTGGGAATGTAGTGTCATCTCAGAAGAAAGTTAAAGAGGATCAAGTTAAATCCCCAGACAAATATGGAACTTGGAGGCGCAAGGAAATTGCAACGGTAATTCCCGCAGTAAGCCAGAGGCAGAATGTTAATGTGGCATGAGCAGGCGGGGAGAGATGGCAGCCGGACCCCACTCTGCCGCTTCCCCAGCGCTGCCCCCACCCCCGTTTCCGCCTCTTTTCTTCAAGCACTTTGCGCGTATAGGGGGGTTAGTTCCTGCATTTGCCACGTTCCAGAGAGTGGGATGGAGCTGAGATTGTGGCAGTTGCTTTGCCACCTTTCAGTGAAAACCTGTGTGTGGGCAGCTCCCTTTGTGCTTGGCAAGATTTAGACAAATGAACGGTTTAGCTGGGTAATTATTGACATTACAAGCAAGGAAAAATCAAGGCACACAAAACCTTTAGTCATTCAATTTATCTATGAGAAACGGTGTGGGACGGGGGCCAGTGGAGGAGTGGGGGAATGTTGCAGGGTGATGTGTGCATTTTGTGCACAATTGAACTCAATCCTCAGATGATGTGTGTGGATGTTGGCAGGTGAGCATCTATCTGTGTCTTTGGGGGAGTCACAGGCACCCTGGCAGGTCCGTCTCTGCACTCCTGGAATAGAGTATAAAGAGAACAACTGAGGTATCAACTCAGCGGACTGTTTATTTCCTTTAAAAAAATATATACACCCTGGTCCCCAGGTTAAGAACAAATTCAATTCCTGAAATCATCTTTAAGTTGAATGTGTAGGTAAGTTGGATCATGTATATAAAAAGCATATAAAACACTTAAGAAACACGTCCACAGACACTAAGCCAAGTTAAACTCAAAACAGTAAATTAATACTGGTAATAATACAGTAATGATAAAGTGACTACAGGTACTGAAGAGAGAGAGTGAGAATCCGTGTGTGTATGTGTGTAGATATACAGCACAATTCTTAAAACAGTTGAGATAGAATGAAAAGATGATTACCGGTTAACACTTCTTGGACTAACATTAAGCCTATCATTAACTGGATGATGGTAGAGATGGAACTGGTGTTGGAGGCACGGAGAGAAGCCAAATGCAGTGCAGAGTTACAGAAGGCAATGCTACCTCCATGTGATCCAGGACACATACTCGCTTGGTTGCGCTAGTTTTCCATGAGCATGAGAAACTACTGCCGTTCCACAGAACTGGTTCTGACTGTGTGACTTGCTGCTTTTCCCCTCCTCCCTCCTGTTCTTTCCTTCTCCACCTTCCCTTCTTTCCTTACCGCCGAGTGCTCCCCTTCGGCACCTGCTTGCCGCTCAAGGCCAAAGCAGGACTTCTGGGGTTGTTCATTTGTAAGTAGGGGTTGTTCTTAACTTGGACATTTGTACATGGGGGACTGGGTACAGATCACTTTACCTGAAGTAATGTTAAACATTTTAAGAAAATTATATGAATAAAAAACAATACAGTAAACCATACTGTAGTGTAGGACATGGAAGTGTAGGACATGGAGTGTAGGACATGGAAGAATCAATTCAAGTTGCAGCAACCCAGATTCAGGCTGGACATCAGGAAGCGCTTCCTCACGGTCAGAGCAACACAGCAGTGGAACCAGCTGTCCGGAGAGGTGGGGGGCTCTCCCACACTATCATAGAATCATCGAGTAGTAGAGCTGCAAAGGGCTATGAAGGCCATCAGGACCAACCCCCTGCTGTTGCAGGACACCAGCCATCCCACTCAGAATGCCTCTAGTGTGCGAAGTAGGAATTGAGCGCCTCGGCCTTTTCCTTGTTGCCTGTTATCACTCCGTCATGAACTTTATGTAGCTGGACACCCTTCTCTTTCTTATGTCTTTTGTTCTGGATGTCTCTGAAGAAGGCTGTCTTGCTGCTCTTAGCATCCCTTGCTATTCGCAGCTCATTTCCTGCTTTAGCCTTCCTGATGCCGTCCCTGCAATTCCTCGCTATTTGTTTATACTCTGGCCCTGCTTCCACTTCCTGTACATGTTCTTTTTTTCTTTCAGGCTGTCACTCACTTTTTGTGGAACCACATGGGCTTCCTCTGCGGTCTTCTACACTTTTTTCTTGTTGGACTCATTCATAGTTAGGCTTGGAGAATCTTTTCCAAGACCCCCCCCCCTTCTTGGGCTCCTTTTCGTTTAAGAGTGAGTACTTGGTACTCACTCTTATCATTGAGTGGTATTTCACTTATCATTGTTTTGAGTTTGTCAAATCTGGCTTTCCGGAAGTCCAGGATACATGTTTGGCTGCAGTTACCCTTTATAATTACCCTTGGCTGGAGTCTTCTTTATAATCGAGAATTTGAGTATCGCATGGTCACTTTCCCCCAGAGTCCCCATGGTTGTTATTTTGTCCACCAGGCCATCCCTGTTAGTATAAAATTGAGAATAGCTGATCCTCCCATAACTTCCTCTAACTTCTGCTGGAGGATCTTGTCAGCTACGCATGTCAGGAAACTCTTTAAGGGGCCATGTTTGGCAGAAATTGCCTCTCAGTATAAATCAGGGAAATTGAAGTCCCCCCTGGATGGAAATGCTGGCAAGTTGCTTTTCGAAGGTTACATCCTTGTCCTCTTTTTGACTGGATGGTTGGTAATAGAAACCAATAACTATGTTTTTCTTATTTTTTGCTCCCTATAAATTAAGCCAGATGCCTTCAATGGGGCTGCTAAATTCTTCTTGTGCTTTGAGAGTTGGCAGGGGTTCTCTCACACCCACTGGCCTCCATTTTTGAGACCTTGTGGAGAAAAGGTGAAGTTCCAGAGGACTGGAGGGTGGTGTCAGTGGTCCCAATTTTCAAAAAAGGTAGTAGAAGGGACATGGGGAATTACAGACCTGTTAGCCTTACGTCCATTGTAGAAAAAACAATGGAAAGGCTCATAATAGTGAGAGATCTAGTGATGCTGGATAGGGAAGGGAGGCTGGGGCCACACAATACGGCTTCCGCAAAAAGAGGTCCTGCCAGACAAACCTTGTGGAATTCTATGCCAAGGTTTCAAGGTGCCAAGACAGAGAGGATGCAGTGGATGTGGTTTACCTGGGTTTCAGCAAGACCTTTGTCAAAGTGTCCCATGATAATTCTGGTTGAGAAATGGAGGAGTTTTGAGATAGACCAACGTGCTGTCTGGTGGATTAAGGCAAGGGTCCTCAAATTAAGGCCA